CGCTGCCATGGGCTTCACTGCGCCGGCCCTCAGCCCCCAGGTACAGCGGTGGGGGGGTCTTGGTGGCCAGTGCTCGGTTCAGGCTGCCAGCAGGGAAGAGGGGGTACCCAATACCTAGAGGGACAGAGGATGCTTGGGGTGACCCCCAGGGATGCGGGGTCATGGGGGATCCCCGTGGCTGTGGCCCTGGTGACCTCGTTGACACGGGTGGCCATGTATGCGTGCATGGTGCCGCGCTTCAGCAAACCACTTCCTGCGCAAAGCCGTCGCGCACCTGGGCTGCGGGCAGAAACGGCGTGCGAAGGCGGTGGCCAAATCCAGCACTGGGGCCAGCAGGCTGTGAACCTCCTTGTTCGGACCCTCCCCCAGCTCCCCATTGAGCTGCCACGACCTCCCATGGGGATGGATGGCCAGGGTGCCCAGGCCCACCACGTCATCCCCATCCATGGAGATGGGGATGCTGTGTGCCCACACCCTGCACCAGGAGCTTTGCCTGGCTGCCCCTGTGCTGCCTTCGACCCACCCGGGGGTTTCCACTGGTCAAGTCCCAGCACCATTATTTTCCATCCACATTTCTGCCGTGTGACACTCGTGTCCCTGTCACCACCCCAGGCTGGTGCTGTCCCACTGGGCAGGATGAGCACCTTGTGCCCAGCTCTGAGCTGCGCTGCACAGGAGGGAGCTGTGGGCATGGGGTGCTGGGTGCTGTCAGGGTGCAGGAAGCAGCTGGAGGGAGGCAGGGGCCGGTGTTGCCACAGCTGCCCACGCACTCACCCTCACCCCGCTCCCGGTAAATCCCCGGGAGATGCTGCGAGAGGGAGCTTTGCATGCAGCGCCTGGCTGGGAAAATCCCCATGGGGTTGGTGAGGATGGGGTGCTAGTGCTGGGAATGGGTGCCTGTGGTGGGATCGAGTTCCCATCATGGGAACGGGTACCCAACAAGGGAATGGGTACTCATCACAGGAATGGGAGCCCATGGAGGGGATGGGTGCCCATGGTGGGACTCAGTACCCATCACGGGAATGGGTGCCTGTGGAGGAGTCCTCCAACACCACTGCCGGCTCCCAGCAGCACCCCTGAGTGCTGGGTCTAAGCCTACCTGGGGGCAGAGGTCCCGGCGAGCGTCCCAGTGGTTTCGGCACTGCAGGTTTGAAGGCGGGTGGGCGGCCCTGGCCCTGCAGGGACCCACTGGTGCTGCCCAGGGACAAAAAAAAGGGCCAGCTGCCATAGGCAGCCTCAGGCAGTGGCACCGGGCTCTGCAGGGCAAAGTGGAGGTGAGGGATGGAGAAGGGACCCTTGGGGACTCTTGGGGACCCTCACCCCCAACTCACGTAAAACCTGGGCCGTGCCAGTGACAAGTCCATGCCCTCGCTCAGCCGTCGCGCCTTGTCCCCGGAGTCCTGCCTCTCGTCCAGCTCCAGCTCGTGGCTCTCTAGCCCCAGCCCCTTGCGCTTCAGCGTCTGTGGGGAGCGGGAGGTTAAAGGGGGTCCTGCACCCACCTCAGATCCCCAGCCGCCCCCCCGCCGCTACCTCGAGGATGTCGGAGTTGGTGCGGCTCTCGTGGGGCTCGCTGTACTCCGTGTACTTGAGCAGCACCTTGTCCATGTCGGTGCTGGCGTACTGGAAGAGACGGTTGGTGCTGTTGAAGATGATGAGGGCGATCTCGCAGTCGCACAGGACGCTCAGCTCGTACGCCTTCTTCATCAGCCCAAACTTCCGCTTGGTGAAGGTCACCTGTGGAGCGGGGATGGGGACAGGATGCTGCATCCAGGACCCCAAATCCTCTTTCTGGCTCCCCAAACCCCCTCCAGCTCTGGAGGATCCAACACCCATGGAGAAGGTGGGAGCAGCTTTGCCTCCCTTCAATGGGCTTGTGGCTCACTGTCTCTCACATCACCATCTTGTCCCCAGACCACTCTTACCTGTCGGTTCCGCTGATCCAGAATTCGGCTGATCTGTATTTTTTTCCGTCCCATTTTCTCCTCCTACACTTGAGGTGGGGCTGGAAGAGAGCGAGAAGCCCTTGAGCCCCCTGCAGCCTGAGTGAGCAGAATCCACCCCAGCACCACAGGCACCGCAGGCCGCCAAAACTAAGTTTTGCTAAGAAAAATAAGTTTTCATAGGAAGTTTTGGGTTTTTTGCTTTTGATTTTAGCAAAGACAGTGGCAAACTAAAAAATTATATGAAAATTGGAAAATTATATAAAAATTGGTGGGGAAAAATCCCTGCCCTGTGCATGGGTGCTGTTCACCAGTGCGGCGCTGGGCCGGGGAGGGCGGTTATAAGGGAGGTCGGGCTGGCTGCAGGGAGGGTCTGTAAAACAAAGGGGCTGTTTATAGGTACAAGGTTATTTTTTTTCTTTTTATTTTTCTCTCTAACAGACTAAATTTGACCCCCGCCATTCGCAGGTCAGGAAGTGGCTGTATGAGGAGACAGCAAAGCGAAACCACCCACCTCTTCGGGCCACGTGAGGCGGCAATGGGAAGAACGAGGGGTCCAGGGACCCTGCATCCCATCCCAGTTTTGGGGTGCCAGCACCCATCTCAGCCTGGCAGTGGGCTGTGACACCCCCCATGACATCTCCCTGTCATCACTGGGACCCAAATCTTGCTCCTTTTATCCCGCTCACCCCAAAATCCCTCTGGGATGGCCCAGCATCACTGCAGCCCAGTGCAAAGCCATGGGTGGTGCCAAGATGCTTCCAATGGGACCCTCATGCCCAGCTTCTCCCCCCTAATTTGGGTGCAGACCTGGCCCAGCTCCGTCCTTAATGCCCCCGCTTGTCCCACTTCCCCCTCTCAAGCCCATTGCCATTTGCCATCTTGCTCAGTTGCTATATTTAGCGGATCAAAACTAATTTTAATTTATGGAAGGAAATGGCACTGCCGTTCCCACGGCCCCACTGCCACCCTGTGTCCCAGGGCCCACGCACGGCACCAAGGTACGGGGGGTGCTGAGACCATGCTCCCCCCCCAAAAAAAAAACAACACCCAGTGATTCCCTGGTGAAAAGGCAAAGGTTTTCCCGACCACTTCTGTCTCCAGGGCCGTTCCTGCCCTCCCAGTGCTGACACCTGCAGCACGATATCAGACCAGGGCCACCCCAAGGGATCAGCTCTCACCTGCCCACCCCCATTCCACAGTCTTGAATTTGGGGTGCAGAAACAGGAGGTGTTCATGAGGGGCCATAGCTTGTGAGGGGATGCTCGCCCGGCTGTGAGCCCCCACTTCCCTGCTCAGCATCACCTGGGTGGGTACCAGCACCTACAGGGTGATGCTGCAGGGTTCCTGGATGGGTACCAGTACCCACAAGGTGATGCTGTGGGGATCCCAGGGGGTACCAACACCCATTGGGGTGATGCTTCAGGGGTCCTTAATGGATGCCAGTACCCACAAGGCAATGCTGCAGGGATCCTGGATGGGTACTGGCACCCATGAGGTGATGCTGTGGGAGTCCTGAAGGGTACCAGCATCCACAGAACAATGCTGCAGGGGTCCCAAACAGGTACCAGCACCCATGGGATGATGCTGCAGGGGCCCCAGCCCAGAATAGCAGACAGGGGTGGGAGGCAAGAGGAAGCGGCAGCCGCAGCGCCGTCGAGCTGGGGCCCCGCAGTGGCCGAACTCACGACACGCTCACTGCACGCTAGGCCGAACTCAAGGCACGCTCACCATGGGTTGGGCCGAACTCAAGACACGCTCACCGGGAAACCGGCTACAGCCTGGTGCAACATGTGGGGCGGTTTCATCAGCTGCCTCCCCGAGCAGCTCATTACTGCTCTGCTCCTCCTGGGGCACTGCCTCGGCCGCTCGGCCACCACGGCCACCTGGGGATGTGCCATGTGCTGGGGTCTCACTGGCTGGGCACCGGATGCTCTCTGGGAGCGGAGCACGAGGCATTTCAGCTTCCAGCCTCCACGGGTCCTTGGCTACCGCAGTGCGGCAGTGTCCCCCCCGGGTGGGTATTATGGGCTGGGAGGGGATGGGAAGGCCACTTTCACTCTGGATTTTAATTGCTGTGATAAGGTGATAAGCTGCATTACGGCTGCAGGGATTACTGCAGCTGACAGGCACAACGGGGCAGCTCTGCTGGCATCGCCACCTCCAGCAAGGTGGCACCCTCCAGCCTTGACCCCATGGCCAGGGACAGCATTGAGGAAGCAGCCTGGCTCCCTCCTCCATGAGGACTTACAGACGCCTGAGCAGGAGGGAGCTGGAGAAACCCTGCAGCCTCTCATTGCATCCCCAAAACGCCTCCTCGTTAGTGTTGCCATGATGGGGACACACGCCATGACCCAGCTGCAGGGATGAAGCACCCTTCAGTATCATCACCAACAAAACCCAGCACCAGCAAAGCTCCGGAGCCCTCCAAACCTTTTGGAAAGGAGGCACTTTCCCCTGCCCACAGCTGGGCAGAGGCCCTGGTGCTGCCTGGCATCTCGCCGGCCTCCCACACGCGCTTATCTTTAGCCCAGGCTCTCTGCTCGCTCGCACGCACCAGGCTCGCTTCCACGTCCCCACCGTCCCTTTGCCAGCGAGATCTCACCTCAATCTCCCGCCCTGGGCCCCCACCAGGTTTATAATTAACTTCCCCGGATCCTCTCCATCGTTTAAGGGTCATTCGCATTGCACCAGAGCATGCAAACTTCCTATCCTAGCTCCTAAGTAGCGCACTGAGATGAAGTGAACCCCAAGAGAGCAATGTGTTTTTCCATGTGTCACGGCATAGGATGCTTTGAGTGGTACCAGGGGGTACCTTTTAAACCTTTACATCCCTCTCCATCCCTAAACTATCCCAAAAAAGTTAAATCCACCAAGTTTAGCCCAAAATCAAAGCGGAGGGGGTTTATTAGGGGAGTGCTTCTCTAATAACTCCAAGTCAGGGTCTCCAAGCATCCCAGCATTTCATCCTCTCCCATCGAAGTGGCATCGATGTAGGAATCAGGGGGGGAAAGTCCACTTTCACCAAATTATGGGGATTTTGCTGCAAATTTGAAAGCTGAGGGATGGCTGGGTAGAAATGGAGAGAGTGGTCAGTAAGTATGCACTTCCATTTGGCTTCCAAAATGTGTTTTGTGGGAGAAAAATATGGATTAAAGTGGGAGAAGGAGTTTCCATCCCATTTTTTACAGGGAGATTGGCTGGGAAGGCAAAAATCTGAGCCAGGAGAAGCAAAATCCCAAGGGGGAGCCAGGCCAGATGTTGCGTTACTGGGACTGGGAGGGCAATGGGCTTGAAACGGGGCTTTAGGGACCACTCGTCATGGAGGTACACATTGCACTGGGACCACTGGGAGCCACATCCATCCCTGACCAGTGCTGCCCTGCTCCCAGCTCAGGACATCCCTTTTTCTGAGTCTGGAATAGGGAAAAGTCAAAGTTGAGTGGGTTTTCTGCTGGGGGGTGACGGAGCTGCCTGCTTTTTATAGGTTGTTGTTTAAACCAGTATAAACCAGAGCAGGGCTGGGAGCACAGGAAGGGAAGCAGGGAAGGCAGGAGGAGCCTCATGAGAAGCAGGGGAAAGGAGAATTCAGAGGGGATGGGGTTCTGCGGGGGCTTGGGGACCACACTGGGGCACTGGGGACAAGGAGTTTGCCACCATTAACCTCGTTCCCCACCTCCCCAACACCACCCCAGCACCCAGCGAAATCTCTGGAGGTGATTATAATTCATCGATCCACCCCCACGGATGTGTGGCATGGCCCTGCACCCCTCTGGAGCCAAATCCAGGCTTTGAGGGGGGGACACGGCCACCATCCAGCACCCAGCTCCGTCCCGCTCAGGATGACACAGACTGAAAGTGCCCCCAGCACCCAGTGCTGCTGGGCGAAGCACGGCCTGGGCGGAGGCTTTTCGGTTCCCATATGACTGTGTGGAAGGAGGAAGGGTTGAAATGTTCCCCCAGAAACTGAGGCAGCTCTTTCCTTTGGGAAGACAGACGGACACACAGACACCCCTGGGGCCCAGACTACCTTTTTTGCTTGGTGTCAGCAACACAATTGCACTGTTTCCATGGGGCTGGGCGCCCCACGCTGCTGTTGGGCATTAATACGGGAAATGATGCTTGTTTCTGCAGGAGGGTTCGCCAGCTGTGGCCAGAAGTGGCTGATGTCTGGCCTGAACCCATCCCTGTGGTGTCAGGGCTGCATGGCTCACAAACCTGGCTTGCCTCTGACAGCCCCCCTATAATTTTTGTGAAGAGGAGGGGAATCCAAGGGGTTTAAGGCACTAATTTCCCCTCCCACTCCTTCTGGGCTGAACTGGTCCTCACAGCAGCGTGCTGGGATGCTTGTCCCAGGCGTAGTCCCCTTGCACCACACAAAGCTTCTCAGATCTGCTTTCCTTCCCTGATGCCAGCTCTTGGCACTGGGACATCATCAATGCCCCGGGCTTGGAGGCAAGTGGGGACGTTTGACATCCTAATCTGAACCTGGAGCCTGTGTCTGCATCCCAAATCCTGCCCCTACCAAGCTACACAGGTGTCCCAAACACATCACCTACATGTGATGTGTCTGGCTGACACAAAAGAGGGCCAGGATGCAGCTTCCTGACCCAGTCGCCCACGCTCCCTTCCCAACTGGTACCCGTTATCCCAAGGGATGTGTATGGAGCAAGGGAGCACAGCCCATCATGCCCCACAGAGTGGGTCTCTGCCCTCCAGCCCAGCCACCAGCTGTCATGTTCGTTAATTCATTACCTGCGAAACCACATCCCCAGGGCCAGCGGCTCTGGGAAACTCTCTCATTAACGGAGCCAAGTTCTGGGGACAGGGACTCTCTGGCAATCGGCCGTGTGATCCAGCTTGCTCTCACCATGGGGACTGGTGTGCAATGGGAAGTGATGGAGATGCCATGTGTTGGCCAGAGCCTTGGACAGGGTCCACTACCACCCAAAACCGCTGCAATTCAACTGCCAGACCAGTGTGACACCCCGGTAAAGGTGACATTAGGCCCTGACCCTGCATCGGGGCATCCCAGC